TCTCACTTTAGCTCACCTTCAAACGGATGTTCTTAGGCTACCCATAGGATACTTGGTCAAGGACCGGAAGTCGTGAGCTGCTTGAGTCATATGTAAAAGAATCGTTTCTGGCCACTCCCACGTGAATGGCGATCAGAAAACTTTCCTCACTTGAGTGAACTTCTACACACGACTCCATCCTCCAAGATATACGAAGACGAATTAGAAGACAGCGGCGACTCTGGCTAGGTCGTGTCTTTCGAATGGACGAAAATATTCTAGCTCTGAAAGTATTCGACGCACTATTCTCCGAGTGAAAGCAGAGAAAGAGGAAGACTTCTACTCCGYTTAGATGGAAAAAGACCTGACTGCACTTGGTATCCCGAATTGGCCCCAAATTGCTTAAAGAAGAAACGATTAGCGATTGTTAACCCGGCTATAACCCGTGTCTACGTCAGTAAAGAAGAAGAATGAACCGATAATTTTACCGGCCCACAAACTATACAAATCATATTTTTTTATTCCTCGTCCCAAATGCTGCATTTTTGCTTTTTTACATATCCTGTGAGCCAGAAATAGGCCTCACCGCTAAACAAAATTGGCAATCTTCTTGGAATATTTTAAAAGCCCAAAGAGCGAAGCGATGTCCCTTGGGAAGGTCAAGCGGGTTAACTCTTGTCCAAGCTATATATTTTTCGCTTTTAATTTAAGATCTTGACGTAAAATGCGGCAAGTAGAGCCATACGAATCGACTCTCCACGGTCTTCGTATACACTGGTATATTTTCTTCACTGTGTGTTGGATCTCGAGATGGCTGGATAATAATGTAAATAGTACACTCAGTAGGGCGATTATGTTGACTATAAGTTRTACGAAACGCGCGAAACTCATCCTTTCGTGAATTTTCATAAAAAAGTTGAATGATTTGTAAACGTTGTTCAGCTTTATGCCATTCCATAATGAAATGAGAAGCAATACTGAACAAAAATAAGATGAAAACTGTCACGGCACATGCGTATCTGTTAAAAAATGCTATTAAAAAAGTACCTCTACGTGGATCAATTGTTAGTGTAACATATGGTAATTCGTGCATCAATTCCAATTATATTCACCGCCAAACCAAAATACAATTAAATGTACATTCCCTTAATATCCAATATCATTACTCGGAATATATGTTAATTAGATATCATTATAATACCTCGCAGATTGTCTGATATTTTGGCTAGAAACTTTGCTCAATAGTCTGAGCCCCACATATTCGGTATCTAAGGACGCGTTCCACCATCTTTGATAATAGGATACTAGTTGTGCAAAGCTTTATTCCGATATTTCATTAGCATTTAAGTTATGTACTCGGTTACGAATAGATTGAATATAAAATTGTTTTTTCTCTTTTTATCTGTTTTCTGTGAAGAGAAACATAAACCTTATTCGCGTTGTAATAAAAACTATGTAATAATTCCAAATATGCATATTTTTCAGAAATAACCTTGGCGATAAATTTTTGGAAGAAAAATGGATTACTAGTGGAAGCTTAGGATCCCGCGATAGCGTACTTGTTTTCCGCCATAAGAATTTGGAAAAGAAATCGAAGGACATTATATTGTCTTCGAAAAAGGAAATTTCAGATACCAATAAGAAGAACGCTGTTTTTAACGATTTCGTTGCAAAGGACGTTTCTGGGCTTAAACTTTATAATAATAGTTTACCTTCTTTAGATGTTATTCGAAAAGACAACGTAGCGCTGCCGAAACATGTTACTAACTTTTTGAATATGGATATTACGACATCTAATATGGAGCAAAGTAATTCCTACGAAACTTATCAAGACACAAATAAAGTTTATGAGGAGGATGACGACGAAATTATTATGCAATTCTCTAATATGCCAGCTTATAAAATGAAAATTAAGTATAAGTTTATGCAAACTGAAACCAAGCTTTTGAGAAAAATTTTTGCTTGTCATGGCTTGTCTGAAGTCGGGGAAAATGAGAGTTTCAGCATTCTTTGGACAGGTGTACATATAAAACCTGATATTCTAAGAAATCTTGCGCCTTATCAACGTGTTAATCACTTTCCAAGGTAAATAAGCTTAATACTTCATTTTCAAAACARAATACACAAGCGTATTAAACTAACATACTTATTTATAGGTCTTATGAATTAACACGTAAAGATCGTTTGTACAAAAATATTGAAAAAATGCAACATTTGCGTGGTATTAAAAATTTTGATATCGTACCACAGTCTTTCGTTTTGCCAATTGAATATAAGGAACTAGTCTCAGCGCATAATAAAAACCGCGGTCCGTGGATTGTAAAACCAGCTGCTTCTAGTCGTGGACGTGGTATTTTTATTGTTAATACAGTAAGTTTCATTATATTTACATTATTTTACAGAACTTTAATTTAAACTTTAAGGACTATTATTGTAAAATACATTTTGTTTCAAAATTGAGTGAATTTGTCTTAATCATATCACTTTTTAAATAATTAAAAAATTCTTCACAAAACCAAATCTCATGCCCCATCATGCAACCGGAATTCGATGTAATCGAGACATTATTGCGCGATTTTGCTTTAAATGATATATTTTATATTAAGATTATGTAAACAAAAAGTAATCAAAAGTTGCTTTGTTTGTCAGGTATGAATATATTTTGTTGTAATTTAAAATATTTAAGAGTGGTTATTTTAATGTTTTGCCAACCTCAGGGAGTAATTCTGCGCCATTTTCCAATTACAAGGTTTAATTCTCTCTGCATCTTTAGCCGTCAGATTTGACATTTTTTCAAATAATTTTGAACAAGAACGATTGGAAAAAATGTGTGACCGTGTTAATAATAAGTTGTCAAAAAAGTCTTGCGGTATTTTTATTGATTTTCAATTGTTCATAAAATTGGTTACAATAATGCGATTCAACTTCATGATGCCCATAGAAGCTCGCTTCCCTATTGGCAAAAAACTCGGAGAGCCAACTTCAGACTACCAAGCGCGTTCGCCATGGATAGAAACAGGTGGTAATCACTTGGTGCGAGATCTGGACTATACGGTGGATGAAAAAGAACCTCCCATCCGAGCTCCCGGAGCTTCTGGCGCGTCACTATAGATGTGTGTGGCCTGGCGTTGTCCTGATGGAAGACAATTCGGCCTTTGTTGATCAAAGATGGCCTCTTCTGCATGAGTGCTGCCTTCAAGCGTTCCAGTTGTTGGCAGTAGGGGAGTAGCTCATAGTGGATTATTCCTGCCAATCCCACCAAACACACAGAAGAACCTTCCTGGCCGTCAATCCAGGCTTAGCCACCATCTTCACCGCTTTTCGACCACGACCGTTTGCGCCTTACATTATCGTTAGTGACCATCTTTTCATCACCAGTCACCATACGCTTCAAAAACGGGTCGATGTTGTTGCGATTCAGAAGCGATTCGCAAGCGTCGATACGGTCAAAGATATTTTTTTGGGTCAATTCGTTTGGCACCCATACATCGAGCTTCTTAGCGACTCCAAGCTTCTTCAAATGGTTTATAACAGTTTGATGACTCATGCCCAGCTCTTGACCGATACTACGGGTGCTACTATGCCGGTTTCTTTCGACCAATTCAGCGATTTTATCGCAATTTTCGACGACAGGCCTTCCGGAGCGTGGCGCATCTTCGCCCACATCTTCACGAGAACGAAAACGTTGAAACCATCGTTGTGCAGTGGAAATGGAAACTGTGTAGGGTCTATAAACTGCACAAATTTTATTGGCGGCTTGATATGCATTTTTGCCTTTATCGTAGTAGTACTGTAAACTATGCCGTATTTTGTCTTTATTTTGCTCCATGTTTGCGACGCTATAACTCACTAACGACTTAAAAAAACACAAAAAGCACTCAAACACGTGTTAGCGCGTGAAATGAGCTTTCCAAAAAGGTATAGCATGACCTGATGCGATGAATAAAACTAGAACTACGCGCTCTCAGCGCCAACTAGCGAAAATACCGCAAGACTTTTTTGACAACCTAATATAAGATATTTATTTGTCAGATCAAAAACAAAAAATAAAGTCTATAACTAAACACAGATCATTTTAAATATGTATCCATAAACTTAAAGCCTAAAATGATATTTTAATTATCTTCTTTTATAGCCAGATCAAATACCGCCGGATGAGCAAGTTCTAGTTTGCAAATACATTACCGATCCCTTATGCATCGATGGTCATAAATGCGATTTACGTGTTTACGTACTTGTTACGTCATTTGATCCACTAATTATTTATATTTATGAAGAAGGTCTTGTTAGACTAGCTACAGTAAAATATGACCGTGCTACTGAAAACCTATGGAATCCTTGTATGCACCTTTGTAACTACAGCATTAATAAATATCACTCAGATTATATTAAATCTAGTGATGCCGAAATTGAAGATGTTGGTCATAAGTGGACTCTCTCCGCTTTATTACGACATTTAAAATCACAAGGTTGTAATACTTATGAATTAATGGAGAACATTGAAGATTTGATAATTAAATCTATATTTGCTTGTGCTCAAACTATTATATCAGCTTGTCGCATGTTTGTTCCAAGCGGTAGCAATTGTTTTGAATTGTACGGATTTGATATCTTAATTGATAATAGTCTTAAACCTTGGCTTTTGGAAGTTAATTTATCTCCATCAATGGGCGTTGATAGCCCGTTAGACTCTAAAGTAAAAACATGTCTTATTACGGATCTCTTAACATGTGTTGGTATTCCAGCATATTCTACTGAGATGCGAGCCCATTACGACAACAAATGGACGCGTTTTCGTAATATAAACTCTACTCGACGAATTACATTAGCGGATCAATACATGAGCGGCAATTGTAACGGCACACGTCGTTTAACAGCGAGTTCCATCCCTACACAACAAACGCTTACGCTAGAAGAACAAAGAATTATTAAAAATGCCAGATTACAATATGATAGGCGTGGCGGATTCGTTCGTATTTTCCCGACAGATGATAGCATGCAACGCTACGGTAGCTTTCTTGACAATTCTACAGGAATACCAATATCAACTCCAATGGCACATGGGCAAATGCCGTACTCTATGATCCTACCCCATAATTATAACCAAGTTTTATTTAAGTGCTTATATGCGAATGCAAAATATAAAAAAGAAAGTAATGAACTTTTACAAAGAATGTGTCAATATGAACGTGCACTAGCAGTTGGATCATTAGTGTCATTTAGTAGTAAAAGTCTTAAATTAAAATCTGTGGAAGAAGGAAAACGTTTACGCATTGAAATTATAAAATTGATTGATAATGGCTCTGAACTAACTCAATTGCAAGCTAGACAGGCATTCGCATTATACTTAGAAGCAATTTTACATCGAATCACTCATGAACCGAGAGATTTTCATGAAAAGATAATTTTAAAATTCTTGAATAGGTTAGGGGGCAATATTAAAACACCGACAGTACCTTTTCATAACCCAAAGAACTCTCGTGGTAATAGCAAAGCCAGAACAGCTATGGTCGCAAAACAGTTGGGCGATTTTCTTGAGCAATACAATCGAGATACGGAAGCTTACGTGGATTCGTTTGATCATTTCGGTATGATACCTAGTGGATTATTCGGTGACTTTTTGGCTCAATCTCAAGAGGCAGATTTGGAGGCTGTCTTAGCACTTCATACGAATGTTACTGGTAACATGCCGTACCTTTATAACAGATTTGGATTATCAGTGCCTCAAACCCCTCCTATACCGTCTGGATTACATGGGTTTCTAAGGGCTTTGCCAGGTATGGTGTTAACTGGTTCTGTCGCCAGAGACTTTAATAAATTTGACGGATATTATAAAAACAACGAAAAGAATTTTAATATCTTGAGAAATTGAAATGTAATTAAAACGTCTAACAATCAAATAAATAATAAATTAACTGMTTTAAACAATTAAGTAAACAGTATTGGTTGGATCTACCAATAGATATAATCATCCTATCTTTCAGCTATATCACATCGAATTCGCAAATTTTTAGCTTATATATTAAATAGTAAAACTTTAAATTAACCACCGCTTGTGATTATAAAAATTGTCTGTAGCTTCTCGGAATTTATTATGTAATACGTTTCAAGTATATCTTATTTTATATATTTATAACTAAATTAAATACCTCCCAATGTAAAGTTTAAATTACACTTTTTTAATGAAATACACTTAATCTTCACTATTAATACTTAAAGTTTTTTATTCGTTTACTTATTTTTGCAGCGTAAGTAGTTTTATATGAATGATTCTTTGCGAAATTATGTTATGATTAGAAGCCTATGCATTTAGTTTGAATAAAATTTTTAAAAATCCGTCGACATATGTGTATATGTATTTTGAGGCTAAAATGAAAAATAAAACAAATGCCGAGTTCACTTCATGCAAATATACTTCTGTTACATACCAATGTAATTGGTTATGGGCCAAAATCATTATACATTATTTTCTCAAGAGAGTTTTTAACAAAAGGAGTTTTAAATGACTTTTATTCCTATATACCAATTGGTTGCTTATGTATTACTACTATTACTACGTCCATGAAGTAATATTATTTAAAACAACATAATATGCTATAACTAAATTACGAAACCTAAATTGGTACACCGTTTAGACAATTTACAGTTTATTTATTTCATTTTAGTGGAAAATTTGCACACGGTGTATAAAAATATTAGTTTAATTAAAATCCGATAACTTCTTGAAGGATAATGAAAACACACAACAGAGTGAAACAGACGGACCTCCATAATCTTTAAAAATACTTTTCTTTTAACAGCTGGTTTAATTTGAAAATAAATTTGTTTTATTTAGATTTCATTGTTCTTTAATTTATACTTTTCAAAGAATATAATGGAACTTTAAATTTTTTATTTTTTATTGTGGTCTCGTTTCTGCAATTTTCAATCAAATAGCTCCCTTCCGCGTTTTTGTTTAAATATGCGCCGTTTCGTTCGATAATCTGTTTCCATCTAGACGGCAACTTCATAATACCCCCCTCGTGGAAGCTCCGTTGTCCAGGTGGAACACTGGATGATTCCCTTCCAATCGCACCAAACACACAGAAAAACCTTTCTGGCCGTCAATCCCGGCTTGCCACTGTTTGGGACGATTCACCAGCCTTCGACAGCGAACATTTTCGCTTAATATTGTCGTACGTGATTCATTTTTCGTCACCAGTCACCATCCGCTTCAAAAATGGGTTGAGTTCGTTCCGTTTCAGTAACATATCGCAGGTCTTGATTTCTTCCAGAAGGCTTTTTTGTGAATTCAGCTTTCTGCAGATGGTTTAAAATGGTTTGGTGACTAACTCCAATCTTCTGCAAAAGTGGAACAATGGAGTTTTGCCACATTTTTTTTTTGTTTTACGAGTGAATTTGTCATTTTTTTATAGTAATAGTGTATTTTAAACCTGTACAAAAATAATATATTAACATTTTTTTACAAAAATATATATATACTTGCAATTTATTGCATCAAAGTTCATTTATGTAATTATTGTTCCAGTTTTGCTCTTCAGTGTATATTCAAGGTACTATTCGTGTAAAAATTTATCCCGATAYATTAATTGGTGCTAGATTTGTATACCGAAAAGTGAAATCAGATGTAATTTTAAGTTGTGTTTTAAGGGAAGTAGGCGTGGTTGCAGTCCTCTGTAACATAGAAATATCAAAATCTATGTAAAAAAATTTACCGGAAAATTTTGATACCGGCTCTTATAACACCTTTTTCTATCATCATGAATGTAAAATTTATTAACGCTGACGCATTTAGTTATTTTTTTAAGAAGTACCGAAATAATTGGTCCTGTGCATTTTCGGGTGATATAACTTTAATAATTTGGGAGCAATCATTAAACCAACTTTACACAAAGTTACAGCACCGTTACACTTCAATATACCACACCAACAGAACCCACACACGAGAGCACCTCATGTCCGCACAAGCAGACTGGATACATAGTGACAGTCTGAGTGAAGTAGACGTGTTTTTCTGTAGTCCAAAATTATTTGCGAAATTTTTTACTATTAACGCTGTGGAACATTTTTGGGATTATTGTCTGGGGGGTGAAAAATTCCAAGTCAGGGTGATGGTACCCCTTTTTTCCTTATCTTGATGTTTTTTCGGTTATTTGTAACACTTTGGCAACAAAAAAAAAAAAAAAAAAATTCCTAGAATGCTCTTAACATCCGAGCGACAGAAACATCGTAGTTGTTAGAACGATGCTTTCCCAACAAGCCTTCTAATACTTCTTTGATTGCCTGCCATGCATTCAATATATATCAATCAAAATATTGTTGAATACGTCACTTTTAATCTTTCGTATATCTGGACCATTTAGTACGCCTGATTGGAAAAAATTAATTTGTTAAGATGGAAAACCATGGGAATAAGGAAAAAATTTAAAAGGTCATAAAATACAACTGACACATACGAACGCCAAACCCTTTGAGCGTTTTGCTATACTGACCTAGTACCATCACCCTGACTTGGAATTTCTCACCCCCAGATTAGCTGTTGTACTGTGTAATTAGAGACCGTATTAYAGTTTGGTTTGTGACTTACCAGGAGACTGGACCACTTAATTTCTATAATTGAACCTAGTGAACAGATAAGTAAAATCTGAATTGTATTACAGATTTTATTTTTACTTATTTGCCCCTTTTCGTGGCAAATAAACGTCAAATTAGGTAAAGTAAAATTAGGTAGTTGAACTTTTGCCTCCGATAGTACTCCCCTGTAGTTCGCTGTTATTGATATTTCCATCCAGGGGAGGTGGGCATAAATTGTGCAGTCTAATCGACAGGCCCTCTCTTTACACACGATATGGAAGCGCAGGACATATAATATATCAAAAGTGTGCACTTACACACCGAATTGCATGCTCTGCAAAGGAGAACCCTCACTTCTGAGTAGGACTTGCCCTAAACACTTGGAGTTGTTAAATACAAAGGAAAAATAAGAATATTAAAGTTGAACTTGAATCACTGCCCCGCAGTACTAGCCGAGCCACAACAAGGCGTAATAGAAAGCACCATTGATGTTGCCTTACTCAGTGAGCAATATTCCTAACGTTCGGAAAGTAGGTGGATTAAAGATATGGGTGGCAAAGCAGGAATATGGCCCTCAACGGATAAACATTCACATATTGCTGCATCGAAGCAAAAAATGGTTTTACATGGGCGCAAATAGGAGGAATATATTTTGAAAGCTGCTATGTACAAGGAACTGATGGCAGCATGYGACACTACAATGCGAAGGACGAAATGCTCCACTAAACGAATACCTGTATTATTTCCGACGCACGCCCCGATTTCTAGCTCTGAAACACCCTCGGCATAATTTCAAAGCCTACTCTTTTCGCTAAAATATACAAAGCATGTAAGRAGGGATGTTAATCGATCCCTGGATCCAGAACCTGATTTTAATCCCAAAACAAAAAAAATAAAAATAAATGAAAAATAAAAAAAAAACACAAGATGAACAAAGCAAATAATTCCGCAGTCCGGTTTTCGATGCTTCCTCCCTACTACTCGATGATACTACACTGGACCCAACAAAAAGGATAGTCACAGCTGCACAGAAGTTTTTTTACGTTTACATATCAAAACAGCACGTCGCTTTTTCAATCGTCGCCACGCTGCTTGTTAATTAAATGATTAAATTGAATTTGAAAAAAATTTTCCAAAGCAACGTAAATTTTTAAATAAACCTACAAATGAAGAAAAACAATACCTGGCGTTTGAATTAAAAAAGTTAGTAGTAGTAACTGTCGGAAGAGTGAAGTGAGTAAAGAAATAAACKTTGGTCCTTCGTGCAGCACCGTTCGGTCACCTATAAGTGTGTAACGTACTGGGCATTTTAAAGAATTTTCATTGACTCAACGCCAGGGGGTCGCCCAGCACATGAGCACTGTCTCAATTGTCTGTCGCATGCGCATGTGTTTCCCTCATTCAGGACCTCACCTAATCAGTATTATCATAATATATATATATATAAGTCCGTCATATATACCTTTGTGGAAAGGGCCTGCGGGACCCCCGCGGCTGTAGTTTCACTGCTTCTTTGACCTTCGGCTCTTCTCGTGGTATACCATGATTTCCTCTTCACGCTCTGCAATTGTAAGCTTCCTGCCTATAATTTTTCTTTTGCTATAGATCCGCATCAGTTCCCAATCCATTATATTATATCTGGTGGCATTATCCCAGATATAATACTAGCGACCTCATGAGTCACCGTGCAGACTGAGCTAATAGTTTTGATTACACTTAACATTAAACAATTAATATCGATAGACTAACCTGARCCAAGAGCGCTCTGCTGCTTTGTTTTAGTCCTCCTATGGTGGCCATGATTCTGGATAAGACCGCATTTACACGGGCAGCTATTTCGCAAAGTTTTTCAATAGCGAGAATTACATCAAGGTGCGTTAGTGCTGATTGTGTTCTCATGTGTGTGTATTTTGGGAGATACTCTCAAGTTTTTTCTGCTTGTAATAAGCACTGCTTCCTTTGTTTGTACTCCTTTAGGCATAATTTGCGGCTTAGTTATGGTAATTTATAAGTTTTCGATTCATAATGCTCATCTCAAAACTAACTGCCAGTGGATATCAAGGAACAAATTTGATAAAGTTTTTAAATATTTACTCAAGTGATCGTTTGCACGGATCGTTGGACGGACGAACAGACATTCACTCATAATTGCACTCGTCTTGTCATCCTAATTATTTATGTGTATATAACTCCAACGGTCGTTCGTATCGAAATCGCGGTTATTGAAGCGACGAAACTAATTATGATACGTTGTTTCACTTGGAGCAGCACGTAAACTTTTTAGAGATTCGCATGTGCTTCAGGCGCCGAATTCTTTGACTGAAAGAAAAATATCAACAAATCGGACATATTCGCACAAACACTCTAATATGACACATAAACAAAGACAC